GGTGGGATGAGCACTTTCCTGGCCGTGGCCTTCCTGGCTGTGGGAGCCCTTAGCTCTGCTTCCAACAGTCAAATCCCCTCTCTCCACAAGACCAGAATTCACTGGAACTTGTTCTTTTCTAGTCCTTGGAGAAATATTCTTTTACCGTCACCATTCCAAACTACTCTCAGAAAGAAGCAGAAGCCCTTGCTGACATTGCCAGGAAACCCCCTACCTCCTATGAGGGGTTGGGGGTGACAAGCCCCTGACCAAATCAACAGCAACTCTCCCCATGGGTGTGGGTGCCTGGGTTCACCCCTAAGGCCCCATTGAAAAGGGGATCCGGGCCTGGGCCAGGCCTTCCTGAGCAGACACAGATGCCTCAGGAGGGATGCTGGCACAAAAGGGGTTATTTGAAAGACAGTGTGAAAGGGAGCAAGACTATTGGCTGGGAGCTGGTTCCGTGCCACAGCCTCTGCTGACTGCAGTTTCCACGTGTCCTCTCCTTTCCTTTCTCCGTTTCTCACTTTCCAAAGCTTTCTATTCACTCCACAAAGAAAAGCAATCCCCAGGCAAGGTTGTTTACAGTATTTTATGAAAGTTTGAAGGGGAGGGGAAAAGCGGAAAGAAAAGGGCTGGATTGGGGGGCAAAGGGGAGGGGGCCTGCTGCAGAGGAGAGGGGACGAGAGAGAGGGAGTGAGAGAAAGAGAAGGCAGGCATGCATAGAGTCCCGAGCAAGCGGTGCCAAGCCGTGAAGAAAGGGCGGCTTGGGGATGGGGAGGGAGGATGCCAGAGCTGCAGAGAAAAGGAGCAAAGAGCCGAACAGGAGAACTGGGTGAAATTGAAGTGCAAATGGACTCGGGCACTCCTGGCAAAGGCTGCTGCAGAGAAAACACAAAAGGGATGCCGGGGGAAAGCATAGGTTCTGAGGAGCTGGGCACTTAAAAGAGAGCCGCTGAGGTGGTCTAAGAAATCGGCAGATAGTAAATAAATGCCGGGGGTGTTAATGTTGGGAGGGGGGTGTGCACAAAGATTTCTGAGACAGAGTGAAATTAAAAACCACACACACACACACACACACACACACACACACACACACAGAGCCAGACCCCAGGAGAGACAGACAGAGAGTCACACAGAGAAAGACAGAAAAGGCTTTGGGAGGGAGGGGGGAGAGAGAAGGTCTCTAGCGGAGTGGGGAGACTTGGCAGGTGGACAGGAGCAGCCGGCCAGGCCGTAACTGCACTTGCTGTTTCTAGTCTATTGTTTCTCCACAGGGGCAGGGGGAGTTGTTTGTTTGTTTTGTTGTTTGGCCTCTTTGTCTCTTTTGTTCCAAGCAGTGAGTTTGCTTCTTTCCCAGACACTGGGCTGATAGAAAAACCTTTATGGATTTTTCTTAAAGAGACAGGATCAGCAAGTGCACCCATATTACCCATTTCTCAGTTCCAACTAGTTCCTACCCAGATAACGTTTAGTTTTCTTTCCTTTTCTCTCCCCTCACCCCTTTTTGATCCTATTTTCAATGGAGAGTCAGTGTTTGTGCTGTTCTGTAGCTGATTAACAGGAATAAACTCGTCCATTTCTTAGTACCCATTAAGCTGCCCCCTCCCAGGTTGCCAAGACTTAAGGGGGAAGGAAGAGAAGACAAAAATGGGAGAGCCCTCGACACAAGCACAGCATGAAAATGGCAAACACAGACACCCCTTGCTCGCTCTTCCTCTGAATCTGGACCTGAGGATCAGAAGCACAAATGTGCAGCCCTCCTTGAACAGAACGGGGCTTGGAAGGGAGCGCTTGGTGGGTTCCTCCTCAGCCCAGCTCCCTCTTCCCAGGCTCCCAGATGTCAAGCCGACCTCTGAGGGTTCAGAAGTCTGCCTTGAGACCCTCTCTGGCTGCACTCACCATCAACACACAGGCAGAGGTGACCTGTTAAAAGGCAAGGTGCTGAACTTAATGGAGAGCTATCTTTAATAGAGATGTAGAAGACAGACATCCCGCATGTCTGACTTTCTCCTAGGAAGAACTCCAGCCTCCTGTCCTGCCTGGCAATAATTCAAATAGGTTCAGGTGTAAAGGAGATAGTTTCCAAAAGAGATGTGGAAAAAAAAAAGAAAAACCCACAACCCTCCCAGTCTGTGCCCCTCCCCATTCCTATTGCCTCCATCTTCCAATCCACTCCAGTCCTTCCTTGAGAAGCCCAGCCAGCTTTTTCCTAAGTACTGTTTTAACACCCAAGGCAGATGTGACTTACCTGCCTTAACATCTCCCTGAGAAATCTGAAGTTCTGGAGACTCAACATAAATGCAGCAAAGTGTCCGAAGCTTTAGCAGGCTACAACAGGGGCAGAGATGGAGAAGGGGCTGGACTTGCTCTCCTCTGTGAATGAGATGCTTTATAATCACAGCAGATACAAACCAGAGTGGAGCTTCTGCCCTAGAAATACTGGCTTATGCCATGGTGAGTGGATCGGGGCAGGCAGCAGAGGATGGTTCTTCGGGGTTAGGGGCTCCCCTCCAACCCATCTGCAAAGAGTTAGGGACTAGAAAGACAATTCTGTGGAAACTTCAAAGTTGAAAGTAGCACTGGTACCTCGGTTTTTCTCTTCTCATGCCCTCCCCAGGAAAGCCAGAGCAGGAGTCAGTGCCCTGTTTTGCTTTGAGGGTCCAGAAACCTTTTTTTTCCTCTCAGGTAACGCTCAAGGACGCTTTCTCTAACAGGGTTTCTGCTCCAACACTGGCCAGTCCATCAGGGCCTGGCTTGGGGTTGGTGATGGAGGTCTCATGGACTTGTGGATGGGGGTGGGAGCTTGGCTCCTGGCAGTCAGGGTTTGGGTCAGGTTTGTCTGAAGTGCCTAGTAGGGAACCCAGCTGGAGACTCTGAGCTCCTTCCTAGCTTATGTGCTTGACAGGTGTTGTAGAAAGAGACCCTGCAAATGGAAGTGGGAATGAGATCGGGGGATGCTCCTGCCAGTGCATATAGTTTCAAATTCAGTATGGCACCAGTTGCCCCCTAACCCTGAGCAAAAAGACAAAACTAATTCAGACAGACATTGGTTCATCCAGGAACCCTCTTGCCCTTAGGATGTGATTCTGGCCAGGTGTCGCTTGCCATGGGGGAGAATCAAGGCGAAGTGGAGATCATGATGAAGTTCCATTTCACACCTCAAGTGGTGGTGTTTAGAAAAGCTCAGACCCAGGATTTCATTCTGTTCCCCACAGGCTTCCCAGAAGCGCACAGGAGATCTAGTTTCTCTGGAACTTTCCTATGGGTTTCCTGGCTTGGAAGTTGAAGCCTCGGGCTAGTAAATGTGGATCCCCCAAATCTCAAACTTCACTAATCCCAGACAAAATAACAGATTAAGCCGCAAATCAAGCAAGTTGAGGTCCTGTCTGTGTTAGAAGTCTCCTATTTAGGTTCAGCGCACTGAGTTGGGCAACCCCAAGAGAGTGAACTTGGTCACCTCCAGTTCAGCCTGTGTGCCAAGAGCTCAGGACAGTCATAGAAACAGGGTGTCCTCTCCAGTGTTTCCTACTCCTGTCTCCTCCATAGCCAACCATATCTGCCTTCATGTACAGCTATGGGGTGTGTGAGGGAGACAGAGGGGCACCGCAGGGCGACAGAACTAGACCACGGGGGAAATAGGGAGCCCCTGGGCCTCCGTGGAGGGACAACCCACCCTGCTCCAAGGGTCCATCATCCGAACTCCTGACTGGAAAACTGGAGAGCGGTGCTCCAGGCTCCGGCAGGGTGGAACCTTTAACAAAATTAAAGCAAGGCAAAATAAATTTGAAACCCAAACTGCAAGTCCGAGAGTCCCTGCCGCCGCTGCCGCTGCTGAAAGCAAGATGGGGGAGGAGAGGGCAGAACGGCAGAGGCCCGCACAGAGGAGGGGTGCGAGAAGAACTCCGTGGCCAGCACAGTTGGTGTCTTGGGGACTTCTGCTCTCCCCCTCCACCGGCAGGCAAGGTTTGCGCTGGGGTAGCTGGTGGGCGGAGAGGAGAATAGGTGAAGGAGGAATGGGTGGCTACTTTTCTCTCCTTGCCACAGCCCACTGGGGGCCAACTCTGAGGTGTCAGAGCACCAGGAAACTGATCTTTGAAAGTTTAGGTAGCTCGGCCAGTGACAGAAGCTTGGAACTGGCCAGCCGCGCACCTTGGTGGGATGGGGAGCAGGGAGGAAGGGAGAGAGACTCTTTGGGACACCGGAGGAGGGACCAGGTCCTGATGTTAAAAATTAAGGAGTCCAGGGTCACTCTTGGGAGAGTTAGGGGGCTGGTGACAGTGGGGAGTCCGAGAGGTTCCTTGGGGGAGAGAGAGAGGACAAGTCCAGGGGTTCTGGGCTTAGATGGCAGCAGAAGGCACTGCCAGGCAAGGGCTCAGAGAAGGAACTGGGAAAGCTTGTCTGCCAAGGCAGTGTTAGATCCTCCCGCCGAGGGGCCGAGTCCCCCATCTCCCCTGCCCTGTGAAAGTGATGCGCGCCAGTCATCTTTGGGCCACAACTAGCGGTTTCACGACTTCGCGTTGGGTCAATGCGCACACCACGCGCACCTATGGCTCCCGGCAAAGGATTCCGGTTAGCAATCTCTTGGGGGAAGAGGACCATTCCGGCCCCAGACTGTGCAACTCTGCCGGGCAGAAGTGGGACACCCACTTCTGCCCGATCTATGCTCCTGAAAGGAATCGCAGCGCGCTCATTCCACACCACAAGCCTGGCTTGTAGCTTTCCCTTACCACGCACCACCCGAATACAGAATTCAGTTCTTAGGCTGAAAGAGCAGCGCGCCCCCTCCTTGTCCAGGGCTAGGGCATTTTAAGGAGGGATCTTCCCATATCTCTAAAGCCAAGTAGGGTTCTTTAGGAACTTTTGTAATAGTAGTGTGTGTGTGTGTGTGTGTGTGTGTGTGTGTGTGTGTGTGTGTGTGAAATAACCAAATCGCCGGTTAGCTTACAGCTGGAAGCCAGTTATTTAAGCTTGCTGAGCCTCCTTTCTAACGGATCAGCTCTAGCTGTTTGAGGGATAAGTTGACGAATGAAGAAAAAACATGATTATCTCAAGTGACTCGCACATCCCGTTTTTCGTTGCACAAATAAAAGTCTGTGTCTTGGGCCCAGTTGCAAGCCTGCCCACGCGGGCCAGGCTTTGATATTTAAACCAGGCAGGGTGAAACTACAGGTTGGGGCACTCTGCAACTTACGCATCCTATCCTCCTCCCCCTAAGCAGTCGGAGAAGAGGTTTGACTGCTCAAAGGGTGGCTAGAGACAGAGACGGGACACTGGCCGAAGGGGAGCAAGTGGTGGTGGCAGCTGAGCCCGGCGATGCCTGGGGAGCTGCACCGGCTCATCAGTCTCGTTCTCCAGAAACTAAAAACAGTCTCAAGCCGCTGCACGCTGCCGAACGTCGGCACGATTCTCTAAGTTCGGAAACCACGAAGCAGTGTGGTGGATTCGCACGACCAGAGCGTGTCATTCTCTCAAAAACAAAGAGCTGGGTGCAGCTTGCTAGACTCCTGCCCCCACTGTGCGCTCCAAACAGCGCGTTTCTCCCCATGCGGAAATTCGCTCAACTTCTCCAAGTACGAGCTAGAGCAGGCGGTGGAAGCCAGCCGTTCTCAAGAGCTGCTCCGAGCTCCCACTTTGCTGGAAGGGCGTCACTGCTCCAGCGCCTTCGTAACTCAGCCGCAGAAGAACGCTCGGCTAAAAAGGACACAGTGAGCCTGTGGAGAACATTTTTAGAAGCTGGGGGACTGGAAGGCTCGTGTATCCCACAAACTTGTGGGGAAGACCGTTGGGGCTGAAGTTTCACTCGGAAAGGGCAGTCCCGCTCTGGTGCACGTTCCCCAGGCTTCGGGCAGCCAACCGGGTGTGACGCTGCTAGAGGCTTGGGAGCGCAGGCTCTCCATCAAGTGGCTCTGATGTGGGTTCCTATATTTTTGACAGCGAACCCCACTGGGTTTGGAGAGCATCGATATTTGGAAGAGCCCCCATCGGGGGTCTTCTTGGAGCATCAGAGGAGATAGAGCAACTTTCCGTGCGGCTGGGGAACTGCCGCATTTAGTTTACTAAGGCCATGCGTCTCTATCCGTCATAGCCACCTACTATTCGGCTCCAAACGAAATAGGAACAGATGTTAGGAAACTGGGGGGAAGTAAGTAGGTAAACCTCAAGTTATTGAGGACACTCCTTTTAATAGTGGAGCTACGCCGACCCGAGAGACATTAGACTTCATCACGCAGGAATGGTGGAGGAGGCTGTGACTGGAAACTAAAAGACTCTCAGGTCTCTTTGCGCACCGCACCACGGGTTCCCACCCGTACTTAATCATCCTAGCAATATTCGCCTGATCAGCCCGCACCGTCTCCGGTCCTTCCTGACACTTCTCTTCCCTGTTTACCTTTCTGCTTCTGGTCACCCCGAGGTTTGGGCTGCCCTGGACCTCTCCGTTTGCCTTTGCTAAGTAAGACTCGTACCAACTTGCCGGTGCACGTCAGGGTAGGCTCTCCCCAGGCTGGTCTCCGGGCTGGTTAGAGACCCTCTCCAGCCGAGAAGGCCCGCAGAATTTTCAGCGTTCAGCTCGGGAGCCCCTGCTTTATTTTAGTTCAAGGTTGGAGGGGGGACACGGACCCAAGGATAATAAACTATGCTGCTTACTAGAGATACTAACTGGGCACAGAAGAAAAAAAAAGAACACATAGAAAAGCAAGCGTTTTAACAAGTGGTCAGACTTTCGGGGATGCCTTTGAAAGTGACTTGTAAAGCACAATCGTTGGCGTTTCTCTAAAAATACAGAATTACACAGACAGACGTTGTCAGAATGTGCTAGTTGGAGTGGCATTTTATTTGTTGCCTCTGGAGACCAGCCGGAGCTGTTGCTACCTGCCCACCCCTTAGTGCAAATCGCCTCCCCATCTCAAGGCCTCCTTTAAAAAGGAGGGTCTTCCAGGTATTGGTAAACTGTGCTACCGTTATTCCAGATGCCTCAGAGTTGCAGGCACTACTGACAGCATGGACTTCAGGGGGAGTTGTAATTTTAACAGGCGCTGACACATAATTTAAAGACACGAATTTATACACACACACACACACACACACACACACACAGAGAGAGAGAGAGAGAGAGAGAGAGAGAGAGAGAGAGAGAGAGAGAGAGAGAGCTTGCTTTTGGGTGCTGACTGCAATTGGGGACTAAGGATTCCTGCTGGGTGCTGGTGAAACTGATTTCTGCTCTGCCCGATGGCCTTGGGAAAGGGCTTCCCATCTGCTCTGAATGCCCCCCTCACAATGTCAGAAAATCTGCCTACAAATATTGGCACCGAGATGCTGTGACAGGCGGCGCTGCTTTAAATAGGAAGGAGACTGCGAGGCGAAAAGAAAGTCACAACCTTCCTAAAGACCAGACTACCTGCCTCTAGTCCCCCAAGCCCAAAGGCAGACAAAGGGGACAGACAGAAAATCTCCTCTTCTGAGCAGGGTGGGGAATGTATGGGCAGGATTCAGAGAGACACTGTGTGTGTATATATATGCAGATGGGCCCCCAAGGACCAGTTGTTAAGGGTGGGAAGCAGGGTGGGAAGCAGGGTGGGGGCGGCTGAACCCTCACCTCCTAAGCCCCACCCACCTATCCTCTCTGCTCTTGTTCAGATAAAGGCAACCAGGGAAGAAATTCGACGGACATTGTTTAGCTCAACTCTTGTGGGCAGTATGTTCTTTCTGTTCTTGTCCAAAGCTGGGGGGGGTGGGGGGTGGGCGTGTCTGATTAGGGAAAGTCTGGGCTCAGCTCTGGACCCTGAGACAGAATTCACCCTAGGGAATCTGAGGTGCTGGTTGTCACTTGGCCATGAATGTCCTAACCTTCAGTTATGTCCCTTCTGTCCCACCAAGGGCGTTCCTGTCCTCTGGAGATGACTGTGGTGACAAGTGTACCAGAGAAACAGCTGAAGCCTTTTCCCGCCTGCCCCCAAAGCTGATGACCTTACACAATACTCGCACATCATTTGTTCCCTAACTTTCTGTACTTGTCTTGGAGCTTGCTCAGCTGTCTCTGAATGACCCTCTCTCAGCACAGACTACATGGCAGTTTCTCCCTGGAAGCATCCTGTCTGCTCAGCCCAAGCTTGAGAGCCTCCTCCTGCAGAGCGAGCAGGACTAAAGTGGAGACAGCATCTCAGGCAGTTTGGGGTGCTGTGCAGGTTGTCTGACTTTCCCACAGCTTTCCAAATCAACTGGCCTCTGACTTGTCATTTTTGAAGAAACTGAGGTGCAGAGAAAGGACTTGACGTGAGGATGTGGAAGGAGCTGGGAGCAGGGTCTGCAGCGGCCTCTGGATGTCTTGAGTTTGGAGTCCATTTGCTCAGTTCGAAGGAGGTACAACAGCTAACAATGAACTACTGTTCAGTGAGTATCAACTGTGTGCCAGGGCACGTGCCATCCAGACACATTGCATAAGTCATCTTCCCAGAAGCCCCCAACAAAATGTAAAAGATATGAAAGGAAGACAGGCATAAATCAAAATTCCTCCAATAATATAAAATAACATAAACTGAAAGTAAAAGCCTCCAACTCCACTCTCTCTCCCAAAATAACGTTTATAGTTTTCATTTCAGTGGTTGGCTGTGTAACTGGAAGATGTTATCATCATTTTATGAGGGAAGAAAGACAGGCTCTCAAGCTAACACAACATGGCTACCTGTCTCCAGGCTCTGCTCTACATGAACTAATAAGAAGTGGGAGAAAGAAGTGGTGATGCTGTTGATAACAAAAAGGTCTATGAGATGAGTGTTAATACCAACTTTCCTTTTTTCCTTTTCTTTCCATCTGTCCTATTCAGGAGCCAAACATTGCTATGTGTTTTCAGAACTGAGACCATATTAATAATTACTTGTAATGGTTGTATTCTTCCTAGACCTTGGTGTAACTGCACAAACTGTCCTCTTCCAAGCCTCGTGACAGAAACCCCAAGACTGCCTCCACCCTGTGGTGGGCCAGGACTGGGACATGCCTATTAAGTTTTAGATTCCCCTGACTGTCCCTTAGAGTTGTTGGGGAACTACAATGAGAGTCAAGAAAAGGACTATGTACATTCAAATTCTTTCTCTATAAACATAATTGCTGCTTTTCAAAGATGTCTTTAGAACCCTGTGTGCAGTTAGAACAATGGAGAATGAGGGATTTTTTTCCCCCTTGAGATGGTGGGGGATGTCTTTCTCCTGGAACTGGCTATGTAGAACAGCCCAGCCTCAAATACACAGAGATCTGTCTGCCTCTGTCTCCTGAGTGCTGGGGTTAAAGATGTGAGCCACCATACCCAGCGAACCTGGGGACTTTGTAAAAGACAGTGCTTTGGGAGGTTGATGGTTACAAAGAGAAAGGAGATGCTCGTTTCTCTGTGGGAATGGGAGCACTGGATCTGCAATATGGGTAAGACTTAGCGTGTGTGGAGTAGATTTCTTTCCACTGCTGAAGACAAGTTGGTTAGGACTTAGAGATGCAGGGAAACTGTTCAGAGTGGTTGGCTAAGAGGAGCAAAGGTGTGGCCTAAAAGATGTTTAAACTCTGTCCCTTTAGTAAGCATCCACTACCAAAGGCTGTTCGTAGATGGTTGGGGGAAACCATACCTGCAAGCTTTTCAGAAACAATTATTTATTACATTTGTCTGTGGGTGTGTGAGAGAGAGTGTGTGTGTGGAAAGGATGGATATATACCAGCTCTCACATCATGCTCATTTTGTCTCGATTTAAAAAGCTTAACTTTGTTTTCAAACTTTCTTTAATTTGGGGGCCTGATGAAAAGAAATGATAGGTCCCTGGTAGGGTCTCCTAGACTTAGCAGAGGAGCAGGCATGCGAAGGGGCTGTTGGCCCTTCCTGCTAAATCTTGCCTATGGGGAGAATCTGAGGGCCTCTAGGAAGGAAGGAGAATATGTGAAGGAGCCTGGGGAGTTGGCTGGTTCCAAGAAGAAACTGTGGAAATAGGGGGGGAAAGTAAAAATAAAAACCAACTTTCTTGAAGGCCCAGCCATGCTTCAGAGCCTGTGTTCAATTCTAGTCAGGACAAAGGATGCTGCGCCCCCTGGTGTTAGACTCACATAGGATTCCAGAGAGCTGTGTGGAGACCAGCTCCTAGAGCTGCCTAAAGCAACCTCACCAAAGTTTCTTCCGTTTGCTAAGCTAGTTGGAGTAGCATTGGCCGTTCTTTCTTAATTCCGGAGTAGAGACTCTGCTGTAGAGAGGGCAGGGTGTGTGCGCGCTAGTTTATTTTATTTGGTTTTCTTTCCATACAGTTTAGGCTAACAGGACAAAGCCTGCTTAAAAGCAATCCCTTTAGGTGGGGAGAACACGGGTCTAAAAACAACAACAACTGCATTGTGGGTGATATTCTGGTCTGGGGAGAGCGATCTGAAATTTCAGAACCTCTTGTTCCTTGTCTCAAAAGCAAATAGTTTTGAGTAAGATGTCTTAAGGCTCCTTTAAGTTACAGTGCTGAATAAGCAGTACACTGAACCATCTTTTCTCAGAACCCTGCAAATGTGATTTGTTAATGTCAGTGCAGGTGCAGGCGTGTTCCAGCATCCAAAGTTTCCTGATTCTGAGCAAAGATTTTTTAAAAGCACAAAAATGTATCTCTTGTCAGCACAGATGCCCCTCACCCTCCAGTCTCATGGAAAGCTCAGCTAGAAGCCGGAGAGTGAGCACGACTCAGTCGCTGCTATTGCTTTTAAAAATAAAGTACTAAGTGTTGTGCTGGAAGTTCTGCTCAGTGTCGAGTGTGGTAGGTGTGAATACATGCTGTAATTGTTCCAGGCACTAGACCAAAACGTCCCCAGAATTAGCAGAGTTTTCAGCTATAATCTGGCTAACATTTTTCTGCAACTAGGTATGAAGACCAGGCTGAATTTCCATTGAAATTTACAGCCGTTCCTCATCTAGTCAGGTGATCAGCTCTGAGGAAGAATTATGGCGCCACTGAGAGATTTCCACTCCTCAAACCTGTATGTCCTGTCTCGAACACGAGCAGTCGGTTATGCCTCACGGCAGCTCCTTCCTTCTGCACTGCCTTCAACTGTTATCTCCGTGTAATGGGCACAGCTTATCATCATCGCTATTTATTAGGCATCTCATGATTGCCCCCGTGAAGATCATTCGAGCAGCAACCTTAGTTCTATAACCATGACTGAAGTATGAGCTGTTGTCCCAGATGAGAGTGTCACGGGTCTGTATACTGTCTGGAAGAGTGGGTCTCTCTGTGAGAGAAGAAAGCCAGGAGGAAGAACAGCACCCGGATGAGTTGGCCTGTGGTAACCCTACCTCAGGAAGGGGAAGACCCCGGTGAGAAGGGTATACCAGATGGCTAGTTCAGTGACTCAGAGCACTGTGTCCCCATTTAAAGGAAATAACCACGTTATGGGTTAAACTGCATACTTCCAAAATTCATGTTACAGCCCCAATCCCCAGAGCCTCAGAATAGGGCTGTATTTGGGATAGGTTTGTTTGTTTATTGATTTATCTATTTATTTATTGTGTGTATGCATTTATGGAGGTCAGAGGACAACTTTCAGGGGTTGGCTTTCCAGGTTTTGGGTTCTGAGGATCACATTCAGATCAATCTTGGCAGCAAGCACCTTTACCTGCTGAACCATCTCACCAGCTCCAGGAGATTTTTTTTTTTTTTAATGTACTTAGAACCTTTTTCTTTTTCTTTTTCTTTTTTTAAAGATTCATTTATTTATTTTGTATACAGCATGTATGACTACAGGTCAGAAGAAGGTACCAGATCTCATTACAGATGGTTGTGAGCCACCATGTGGTTGCTGGGAATTGAACTCAGGACCTCTGGAAGAGCAGTCAGTGCTCTTAACCTCTGAGCCATCTCTCCAGCTCCCAGGAGATGGGTTCTTTAGAGACATAATTATGCTTCAGTGAGATAAGCCTTAAGCTAAGGCGACTGATGGGGTCCTGATAAGATGTTGACACAGACATGACCACAGGAAGGTACAAGGACAAGGAGACCAGATGCCAGACAAGGAAACATCCTCAGAAGAAATCAGTCCTGCTGATCATTGGTCTCAGATTTGAGACTCAAACTCTGAGGTGATAGATTCTCTTTGCTGAAGCCACTGGATTTTGTGGCATTTGATTATGGCAGTTCCATCAAACTAACGTAAGCTACTATTCGGCATCAGCCAATTATGTGCAGCCATTTGGAGATGCAGATTCTGTGTCAACAGATTTTCCAGTGTGAGAGTCTTTTATTTTTAAATTTTGGCAGGATGGCTGGCCTTTACGGGTGTGCAACATGAACAATCACAATGATTCGTTACATAGAAATGGCTCATGTTTGTCTTGATGTTCTGCTTTCTCCATCTTCGAATTCTTAATTTCCAACAGGGTCCTGCCTTTTCATCTTGGACTAGGCTTCCAGACATCATGGAACTAATGTAGTTGACAAATAACATGAATTTTAAGTAATGTGTGTTAAAATTATGTGAGCCCCCACCCACTCACCAAAAGAACACATTCTGGGCACTAGAGGAACCCTGGGGCATTGCATTGAATTTTTTTGTTGCTAACTGAACTAAGATTTCCAATCCCTAATCTTCATCAGGAAAGGATTTATAGAACTTAGAATTCTGTCAGGGATGAAAGGAAAGTCACAAACATCTCCAGGTACAATTCTCTGAGATGAACTAATGTGGCCCTGACCATTTTTCCCCTTAGAGTTAAGTCCTAAGAACCTTACAACACGAGTATTTTTTTTAAATTAAATTATGTTTTTAACTCTGTGTGGGTATGCATATGTACATGTGTACAGACCAGAGGCTAGGCATCTTAATTTCTCTTCATCTTATTTTTTTGAGACAGTGTCTCTCACTAAACAGAGAACTCCTCAATGGTTTACACTGGCTGCCCAAAGAACTCTGGAGATCTTCCTCTCTCTACCCTTACCCCAGCACTGAGATTACAGACACATCAGCACAGAAGACCTTCGTATGGGCACTGGGGATTTGAAATCAGATTCACATGCTTCTGTGGCAGGTACTGTATAAACTGAACTGTTTTCCCAGACCCTCAGTAGAGACTTTGGGCATTAGGAGTAGAACATTATGGTTTTAAAAGTGCTATGTTTGTGTGTCAAGTTGGCAAAGGGTTAAGTGTGATGGTTAAAGGTTAAAGGTTAAAGATAGCTTTGACAACTTGACATAACCCATAATCACAAGTCGAGAGTCTCAATAAGGGATTGTCTGCACTGGGCTGGACTGAATACATGTCTGTAAGGGATTGTCTTAATTAAGCTTATTGTGGGAAGACCCAGCCCACTGTGGGATCAACCACCTAGGTTCTGAACTGTTATGTTATGAGTGGAGAAACCCACCCGAGCAACAACAAGCCAGTGAAAAAGTATGCATTCACTCCTTCTGCTCTTGACTGTGGATTTGATGTGACCAGCTGTCTCAAGTTCCTGCCTTGACTTTCCTGCAATGATTGACAGTAACCTTGAATTGCAGGCTGCATAAACCCCTTTCCTCATATGTTACTTTTTGTTAGGGTGTTTTTATCACAGCATCAGAAATAAAACTATGACAAAAACTCTTCTCCCTCTATGCTGAGCTGTTCTGGGGATCTTCATTCAGTTCCCAGTTGGGATGCTTGGAGGTTCGAGCTGGAGGACAAAGTAAACCTGGGGCTACTCATGCACAGGACCATGCAGCCTAAGCCACGTACTGTAGATGAACTGTAAGATATCTTTCCAATTCCTGGAGCATGTCCTAGCAAGGGGTTATAATTTGGAAGAAAAAGTTTACAGCCCAGGGAAAGAAATGCCGTCATCAGTGAGTTGAGTCATGGGGCTGCCCTGCTTCTCTGGATATGCATTGATTTATAAAGCACACTGACAATAATATAGTGGAATGTTTGGTCTGGAGGTCCACTTTGCTAGTTCTATTTCTGCCCAGCACTAACTGGAGAGTGTAAATTTTAAAAGGAGTTATTTCTTATGCAAGTTTTATGCATATTCTCTCCAGGGAGTAAGTGAAAGACTGTTTGAGACACTCTGCATTTCTTGGAAGAAGGTTACTATAAATTAATATAGAGCCCTCTTTTTTATTGCAGGCCCACAGGACACACAGGATGATACTTCCACGTCTCATGCCAGGGGCAGAGTGAGGCTCTCATGGGCCTGTATCAGAGAGGCTGCTTCCCCCACCTCTTCCCTGTAAATTTCCCAAAGTCTCTAACTCTGATTCATTTTCATTCTTCGCTGCAGTGTGTGTTCACAGAGTCCTTGGAAGAAGACTGTGATTGCTAAAAGTTGTGAGCCTATGGCGGGCAAGGCCTGTACTTGGTGCAGCAAAGGAAAGTCCATCACACCTGCTCCTCAGTCTAGGATCCCAAGTTAGCCAGCTCCCACTTTGCCCCAAGAGACAGCCTCTCTTCTCCTATTACCAAGAAACAGTAGAATTTCAGGAAAGGGATGATCCCATATTTAAGAGGCTTGAAATTGTATGCATGACATTTCTGAGTTAAGTTCTAAAATACAGTCCCCTTAATCATAGGAAAAATAAGAAATGTAGTTAAAACTTATTTAAAAAACATTGCACTAGGAGAAATGAAAAATTATGTTGACATAAAACATGTATAAAACTATTCACGGCATCAGCGGGGCTGGGATATAGCTCAGTCATGGAGGGCTTGCAGAGCAATGTGCATGGTCCAAGGTTCAATCCCCAGCCCTGGGATAGAAAAGTAGGAGGGGAGGAGGTATTCACAGCAGCATTTCCAATATCTACAGAAAAGAGAAACAATTCAAACACCTACAAATGAAAGGATAAATATAAAATGCCATAGCTATATGATGGGATACTAGTCAGCAGTGGAAAAGTATGAAGTGATAGAGATGACAGTATGGATGACTTTTTTAACATCTTCCTAAGTAACAGAAGCCAATCACAAGAGAAGGCACCCACTCCATATTTCTGGAGTATATAGGCATATCTATATAGAGAGAAAGCAGAACAGTGGTTGGCTAGAACTTGGAGAGAGGGCCTGGACTTGGGGAGACAGCAGAGAGGTGCAGCATTTCTCTGGATGGAGATGAAAATATTCTTGAATTAATTGAAGTGATGGTTGGGCCACTTGATGACTGCATTTTAAAACCACTGAATTTTACTTGCAAGTGGGGGAATTGCATGGTATGTTGATTATATCTCAATAAAGCCTTTAATATATTTTATTAAAATAATATAATAATATAAAAGATACTTTAAGACCTGGACTGTCTTTCTTCCTTTGAATCTAATTGCCTTATGATTAATGTAGAGACATAACTGTTCCTTCTTGTTCTTCCCCAAGATCACACATTAATCTCAATATTACAACATGAACATTGCAAATTTAAAGTCCCACAGTCTTCAAAAAGTCAATCTCTTTAATACAGTGAGTCTCTTTAAAAATCCAAATTCTTTTAAAATTCAAAGTCTCTCGACTGTGGGCTCCTGTAAAACCTGTAAATTTAAGAGTTTCTCACTTCAGGAGGAAAAAACCAGGGCACAGACACAAACTGAACAAAGCAAAACTAAACTCCAACCGTATAAATAACATAATGACCAAGTGTCTGGGATTCACTCACGGTCTTCTGGGTTCCTCCGAAGGGTTTGGGTCACTTCTGGGTCACTTCTCCGGTTCTGCCCTCTGCAGCACACACAGCTTGTCTTCTAGGTTCCACCAGCTGCATTCCCCTGCTGCTGCCGTTCTTGGTGGTTATCACATAGTACTGGCAGTCTTCTGCTGCAACTGGACTGCACTTTCACAAAGGCCTCTCTTTGGCTCTCTTCATGGTGCCAAACCTCAATTTTCTTCCATAACCCCTTCAGTTCTGGGGTTTCAACTGCTACTGAGGCTGCACCTTCACCCATGGTCTATCCTGGTCTCTCACAGTGCCAAGCCTCAGCTGCTCTCCATGACCCCTTCATGCCTTCAAAACCAGTACCACCTGGGTGACTCGTAGACTACCAAGTTTGACTGCTAGTGCAAGGTACAACCATGGCTGCCTCTGGGACAGCTTCTGTATGCAGACTCTGAGGAAACACGTCCCAGAAGATTTCACCTCGATGATGCTGGTCTCTTCTTAATCACCACTAATTTATTAGCACCAGTTGACCAGGTTCTACTGTCCCAGTAAAACAACGGTTTTACTTCATTGGTTCTGATCTTTTGTTTAGTCACAGCCTATTCTTCAGCCCCAGCTAATCAGAACCACAAATTCTTAACTCAAAAATGCTCGGTAGAGTCTTTGCTTTCCTCTGAAACTTCACAATCCAGGCCTCCATCATCTGTACTGTTTTCAACATTCTTATCTTCCAGTCTCCTATACAACAGCTCACTGAGCTCTCAACACTCAATGGCTGTTCTAGCCCAAAGTTCCCAAATTCGTCCACAATCCTCCTCAAAACAACGTGGTCAGGCCTGTCACAGAAATACCTCACTATTTTAATACCAACTTGCTTAGCTAGGGTTTCCATGGTTGTGATGAAACACCATGACCAAAAAAGCAAGTTGGGGAGGAAAGGGTTCATCTGTCTTATACTTCCACACTATGGTGCATCACTGAAGGAAGTCAGAAGAGTAACTCAAGCAGAGTGGGACCCTTGAGGCAGCAGCTGATGCAGAGATCATGGAGAGGGCCTGCTCACTGGCTTGTTCCTCTTGGCTTGCTCAACCTGCTTTCTTATAGATCCCAGGACCACCAAGCCCAGGGATGACCACACCCACAATGGGCTAGGCCTTCCCCCATCAATCACCAAATTAAGAAAATGCCCTACAGTCTTATCTTATGGAGGCATTTTCTCAATTGAGGTTCTCTCCTTTCAGATAACTCTAGCTTGTGTCAAGTTGTCATGAAACCAGCCAGGGCAGGGCCTGAGTTCAGTTCTTAGCACCCATGTTGGATGGCTTACAACCACCTGTAATTCCAGCTCAGAGGATCCATGCCCTCTCCTGTCCTTTACAGGCACCTACACTTACATATTTGCACATACCCATACACAGGCATACACATAGGCACATAATTAAAGGTAAAATAAATATTTAAATGACATGCACATATTTAAATGACTCTGAAATTGATTTATTGGGGTTCTCCTGTGCCCTTCTTTAGAGACTAACACTCCAACCTTACCTAAAAGAAGCGATGACCCCATTTTCAGTTTACATGCTGTGGTTATTGCTGACTATCTGCCCACCCTAGGCTTGCTGACTCAGGACTTCATCACTGGGCATATCCTGTCCAATGGGATGCTGACTGATGCCAGCTCACACTGACCCTTATGAATCAATCCGTAAACAGTCAGAGAACTCTTAAGCCATTTGTTACACTCAATTGCCATAGTAATTCAAAGGACAGGAACTTAAAATGAAATAAACTTAAAAGTCTTAAAAGGAACAATTTTCATGCTTTCTTCCTTCTTTATCATTTCACTACATGTTATCACCACCCGGCGTCTTGAGGTTACTAGTATCTATTGGCTCTGTGAGTGGAAAAGCTGTATTGTGGCATGTTCCTGGCATCTTAGTTCCATGATCAGTGGCTTCCCCTCAGTAGCCTGGAGTTCCTCATTGGGGGGTGGAGTACAGACAGAATAGACCAGTGCTATTGAGTAGGGCTCCCCTTTCCTGAGGAGGACGTTGTTAAATATTTGCCAGCTCTAGTGGGTAGCCCCCTAAAGATAATTCTACATCCCATTTCCCAGAATGTGTGACCAGAGCCTCATTTGAAAAAAGGTCTTTGTAGCTGCAACTGCATTAAGAATCTTGATGAGATAGCCTGTGTTCTAAGACAAGGAGCAGGCAGGGTGACACACTCAGAGGGAGTGAGGGGGCAGCGGGACGACAGAGACTGAAGTTAGAATGACGTTGCCATGAGCCAATACGTTGCCATGAGCCAATACGTTCCCAGAGCCACCGTAAGCTGGTAAAGACAGGAACAGAATCTTCCCTGAAGTAGCTGGAGGCAGCATGGCTCCACAACCTCCATGATTCTGGACCCATGCTATCCAGAAATATGAAAGAATAAATTTCTGTTGTTCTAAGTTGCTTAGATTTGGCAATTAAAAAAAAAGAAACAAAAACTAAATACATGAGAATGCCACTGTAGTCTTGTCCTGTGGCTTAGGGATGAGCACATGGCACAGTGCAGCTGATGGGAAGTCAGCTTCCCCTGGGAAGCAAACGCTGCTCCTTCTGTGGGGAGGAAGAGGGGTTGCTAGGTGCTTTCACCTGCCACCATAGTGCCCAAGACAAACCCGTGCAGAAATGGGAAGTTGAGGCTCAGTGAGAAGCCGCTGCCAGTGTTGGTAAGAACATGTATTAAACAATTGAGTTCATTTCTTTTTAAATCAAATTCCTAAACAACAATGCATTAATTTTTAGGGTACATTTAAGATGTTTATTCACACAGAACACTGGAAATATATAAGTTGCTATCTTTTTGTTGATGTGATAAGCAGTATTAACTTTTTATTATGGAGTCCATGATTTTTGGACAGTCCTAAATTCATGGAATTTAATTATTTTTTTCCTAAGGAGAAGTAATTTAAAATGCATTTAAATACCCAGAGTTCTTCATGAGATAACCTTTACAAATCATACAAAACTATTTGGGTATAAAGTGCAACTCAGAGGCAGAGTGTATGTGTGGTGATTTAAAAGAAAATAGCCTCCAAAGGGAGTGGCACTCTTAGGAGGTGTGGTCTTGTTGGAGGAAGTGTGTCACTGTGGGGGCGGGCTTTGAGGTCTGCTATGCTCAAGCTATGCCCAAAAAGTGTGACAAACAATTCAGTTCCTGTCGCCTGTGGATCAAGTTCTAGAACCCTAAGCTCCTTTTCCAGCACCATGTCTGCCTGTATGCTGCCATGTCCTTCCGTGATAATAGATTAGACTAAACCTCTGAAACTGTAAGCCACCCCAGTTAAATGTTTTCTTTGATAAGAGTTGCTGTGGTCATTGTGTTTCTTCACAGCAATACAAACTCTAACTAGACAGAGTACTTAGTTTGTGAGAAATTCTGGGTTTGATCCCTGCAACACACATACACACACATGCCTGGACATATACACAAATTACACAAATAAATAAAAGAGTTTTCAGAGGAGGATATTATATTACTTAGACTTTTTACTGGCTAAAATATTACTTACCAAAAATAAAATAAAATATTCTTAAGAACAAGTAAGCAAACCACATTCTGCAGAAGAAGACTTTTTCTAAGGCCATAAAACATACATTGATACAACAACAGTATTAATTCAGTTTACCCACCATGATGTTCCAGGAGATTAGGACTATTTATTATGAAGCTAAAGGAAATTGGTAGAAAATAAAAACTCAGCTTTAGAACTTCCCATCCCACCCTACGCCCTGTGTTTACACAGAGTCTCACTATGTAGCCCTGGCTGGCCTGGATCTTGCTGGACCCTGCTGGCCTTGAGCTGGCAGAGATCCACCTGCCTTTGCCTCCCAAGTGCTGGAATTACAGGCGTGTACCACCGAGGCCCAAGATTCCTCATTAGATAACCCCATTGTGGCCTAGAAAACTGCACACACATCAGGTCTATCAAAGACAAAGGTAGACTGACTCAAATAAGGTTTACAGAAAAGACGAGAATATAATTTTCTTGCCACTGACAAAAAACACTTCAAGTATTACTCATTCTCAATAACTCTGGTTGAGAGCAACCCAGTAAGTTTGCTTTTTTCCCCCTAAAGCTAAAAAAAAAAAAAAGCCTCACCACCAAAGTTGAAATATAAGAAACTGGAAAGAATCAGTGATTTGTTCCTTGATGGTAACTTTACAGCAAAGATATACGTGTTTCTTTACACTAAATTGTTTTCTTCATGTGGAAACGGCTGATAGGAATCTAGGAATGGATATAATTAAGTACTGTGTGGCTCCTACTCCAAAATGCCCCTTTTCTTTTCTTTGAAGTCACGCAATTCAACATTTGCCCAGGAACTGAAGTCGAGGACCAGAGTTAGGCCCTAGAGACATTTCAAAGCTGCCCAGACAAAGGCTCGGAATGACTGCACAAGGGAACCGTCCTGCCTTGGATGCAAATGGAAATTGATGACCTAATATATCTTTTCCAGCACTGACGGCCATAGTTTTATGAGCATCAAGAACTGGGTGTCTGCCATTGTCAACAAACAGAGCTTCTCTCGAGCTTTTCCATGCACGACATGGAGCACCCCAAAGGCATGCTGCAGT